GAGTCAGACCAACACAGTAACAGCATGTCAAGCCTGCAGCGACCGAGTCAGTCAAACACAGTAACAGCATGTCTGGCCTGCAGCAACTATATTAGACCTACACAGTAACAGCGTGTCTGGCATGCAGCAACTACATTAGGCCCACACATGTCCAAACTGCATTGGTCACTGCATCAGGCCCACACAGTAACAGCGTGCCCAGCCTGCAGTAACTGCATCAGGCTCACACAGTAACAGCGTGTCCAGCTTGCAGTGACAGCATCAGGCCCACACAATAACAGCGTGTCCAGCCTGCAGTGACAGCATCAGGCCCACACAGTAACAGCGTGTCCAGCCTGCAGTGACAGTTTAAGGGATGGGGAATAGCGGGACCTACCTGTGGGGGCCTGGGCTTATAGGGGGGACTGTTCTCCAGGTCTGCCAAGATGCTGGTGAGGGAGTCAATCTCAGCATCCAAACTGGAACGGCGCTCCTCCAGGGTCTTCTCTGGTCCTTTCACCTGGCGAGTACCGCACAGCACGTCAGAGCAGAGCCTCTTGATTTCTCAGGAAAACAACTGCTGCTTAGCTGTACATATCTTGAGCAATTAAGAGGGCAGAGAGGCATCCCTCCTCCACCCTGGCACATATCCAAGGTTTAAAAATAAGGATGCAGCCAGGCGCGAGTTGCTCAGGCAGAGGCGCTGTGCCGTGTGCAGCAACAGGCTTAGACACATCAATAACCATCACAGGAAGGACTCCAATAACAATGCAGTTATATATCACTGCCAAACTACAACGAGAAGCAGCAATAAGAAAAGAAGCAGTAATAAAAAAATAAATTGCATAATAATAATTATTATTATAATGAGAATAATCATAATTAATTATCCACAACCCATTTATTTTGCACATCCCGTTCTAGGCGTTGCATTCAAACGCAGGCTCAGTGTGGTTCTGTGCTTGTACCCTTTTGGAACCACGGTACTGACACGGTAATGGTAATAAACACCCTTCTGCATACAAGCCTGCGGCGTGCTCTATAGCAGCAGGTTGTCCCCCCCCCGTTCAGGGCACCTTCGCTTGTCTGTGGAAACACGGGGGCACAAACGTGACCTGCAGGTAGCTGTGGGGCAGGGGCAGGTGGCGTGCAACAGCTGACACGTGACACGTGACAGATCCAGGGCCGTGCGATTACACACACACATACCCCCACCCACCCCAGCCACGTCGTTCACGTCTGCTGCTCCGCTGACGATCATTCTGTCCGACAAACATTTGCAGCAAATTGGCTAAATTTGAAAGAGAATATCAGAGAACTTTTTTTTTTTTTTTTTTTAAAAGGAAATAGGTTTATTCCCAGGGTGATTTTAAAGTTAGTTCAAGCAGCAGGACGGGTGGTTATAAATGGAAAGTAGGAAAATAGATTCCCAACTAATAAAGCACACTTTTAATCATATGAATGGCTGCCAGAGGATCTGCCGTAAAACAACACGGAGAAGCGCTTTTTGCAAACACTCACTGCCGTGCGCAGCTGCTAAAGGCAGCCGTTCCACCCAAGAGTGTGCAAATTCTTCGCAGCTGTGTACTTTGGGATGCCGATGTGTTGTGTACAAAAGAAACAGCAAATTGGACTACTGGAACAAACTGGGAAAGACAAATTATAGACACATGTTCTCCCGACCTGCGCAGAAGTGCAGACAAGCTTGTTAATCGATAAATTCTCGATACGAATGACAGGTTAACGCTGAGCGAAGGCGAATGGGGGACCAGACGACCCACTGTGGTTAATATTACAGCTTTTAGAGCCACAGATGGGGGGGGGGGGCACGAACAGGGACTGTCAAGGAACGGTGAGCCAGAGGCACAATGGTAGCGGTTACAGCCAAAGGCCCCAAGTGCTACTGGCTACAGCCCGATTTAAACTGGGACCAGTTGACTAAAAGCTAACCTTTCAGATCAGATGTTGAGGTTTTCTCCTCACTGAATACTGTATGTGACATATATGAATACATAAAAACACATTCGGTGAAATTTCCCAAAGCAATCCTAATGGCAACATTGACAGGCTACCGAGCCTGTAAGTGTTACTCATTTACACAATGGCACATTTTTAGCAGTTCAGGTGAAACACGTAGCCCCTGCATCTCCTGCTAATGCCGGGGCCACCGGTTCGAGGCTGAGGGACACGGCAGCAGGAGGGGATGTGGCGTTAGGAAACCTGGAGGCCTCAGTCTTAGGACTGGGCTTGAAATAGCGACACCCCCCCCCCCCTTACCAGATGTAGGGTCGCCACTGTCAACAAAGCTGGGGGAGCAGACAGGATTGGCTCAACAGTTGGTTCAAACAGGACACAGCATTTTATTTATCAATACAGGACAATCCTGTACTGCATATGGGACAGGTAGAGCAGATTAGTGGCATGATGGCTTTGTATGCTGGAACAAAAAGAGTTTGGTCCTTGTATGTTCTGGGAGGCATCAAGGCAAGGAGGGCCACGGACTGACATAGCAGTGCCGTCTGTGAAAGGCAGCCAGCAGGCGGCTTCATTCTCATTGGTGCATTTTTAATAAAAAAAAAAAATTCAAAAAAAAAAAAACATCACTTTGTATTTTCAAAACAGGAAACCGGCAAGAAAGCAAGCCTGGATTCTCTGTGAGCTTCGAAGGGATGTTTCTTTAACCGATTAATCGTTAATTTTTTTTGCGTTGCGTCAAAGGGGCATGTTTTACAGAGGCCATAAATAAGACCATGATCCGTGACGGAGCGGGCATGTGCGGGAGCACGCCCCAGTGTGTCTGTGTACGGGGAGAGGGCGAGCACGTGCAGTTCCAAGCGGTGACCAAGCCGAAATTTAACAGCACAACATTTAACAGACATTACCAAGGAGGGGGAGGGGGAGGGGCTCACCTGCACACTGAAGGAGGCCCCATCAGCTGGAGGGGGGGGCAGGGGAAAGTCTTCCATGGGTGGCAGTGGTAGGGGATAGTCACCTGGACGAAAAGAAAAAAATAAGTTGGGGGGGGGGGGGGGGTTTAGATCAATCTAGCGAGATATTTTCCCACCCCTCACCGCCACCGTGAGGGAGGGGGGGACAGCTCCCTACAGACCGTGCACCTGACAGGCAGGAAGGCTGTGCCTTATTTTAGAACAGAGCACAACATGCAAACGCAACAGGCAGGCAGGGTGAATACCTGGCAAACACGATACGACAGCCTCAGCTGCGCGCCTGCACGCCACGTGCAGCTGAACACGGCGACAGACAGCCCTGCGGCGCAGTGATGCGAAAGCTGCGGCGGCCAGGTCTTACAAACAAGCGCGCTGGGCAGGAAAGTGCAGGAAAATTATTTCAAATCCAACTTTTGCCCCACAATACGGCTGTATCAATCGTTTCATTGTTCGTTCCTGTGACTTATGACATGTGACCTCAACAAGGTTTCTACACATCAGGACTTGTTTTGCAGTTTTAATGACTGCAGTGGATGCGACTTATTTATGGAGGGCCCACTACGGGCTTGCATTGTATGGGCTACCAGCACAAAATGTTACAACCAGCGGCAAGCTTACATAAACTGCACCCTTTGTTCCACTATCAGTCTATTGTGTGAGAGTAGCCATGCATTTCATCTGATTAAGAATTTAACAAATTGTGTTTACCCCAGTTGATTGCTGATAGTTACAACCAGCAATGAGGCTACCAGTAAACTTGGGAAGTCCCCAGTAATCCCTAAGGATTGGGACTGCCTGTCAAGATGAAAGGGTGCTGGCAAAATTGGTTTTAGATCTGACTTCACTCACATTAGCTCAGATCTGACCATATCACTCTAAGCACCCAACCAGACACAAGCAACACAAATTAAACTTATTTATGATGTAAATAAGAAACTTACTATGTATAGACGCTGAAGGAGGTCAGAGATTTTGACTCAGTTTTTGACTTTTATCACTGACATGTAATTGAAGTCATCAACATCATTTGTCAGTCCACCAATATGTGGTCCTCAGATGGATTTTGTGCAGAGCTACTTCTATGAATCAGGCATAATCCGTGCCTATGCATGATCTCAGATAGCGAGTGTGACAAATACCATCTGAGTTGTTCTTACAGAGACCTTGTGACCCCCACTGGATCATTTTAGAGCTGCAGTACAGCCAGCTATCCATAAAAGCAGAGAATCCCTGTCCGGCTGACAAGCTGTAAGCCTCTATCCATCATAAAAAAAAAATTAAATAAAAAACATGTGTAAGCTGCACACGGAGTTAATATGGAAATGCAAATTCTGTGTAAGATGCTGTATGGAACCAACATTTATTTTAAATGAATCTATTCTCAACATGCAGGCATTGAACATCTGAGACTTGTTTTATTTAAAAGTCATGTCTTTCTTCATGATGTCAAGAGGATGTGACTTTTTGATTTCTTTCATTTCGTCAATTCCTAAAACCTTTTTCTTTTTTTCACGCCAGCTGATGACGGCGTCAAAAAATGTAAATGTACAGACCCTCTGGGTAACTGGAAAGTTTCTAGTTCCGAGGGAAGTTTTGTGTTTCTACCTGTGATTTAAGGCGTTTCCACTGAAGCACTTCCCCTCTCAGAATGACTCCGACGGCAGTCTGCTTTATGAGAATATCCTGTACAGCCTCAGTGAAACCCCTTCACAGAGATGCAGCCCCTGGCCTTGCTGGGGCACCCTGCACAGGCACAGTGACAGCGCTGTCCGTGAACGCACAACAAGGCGGGAAACATAGCCAGGTCAAGCTGGGTTGCGCAAAAAGGTAAAACGTGTTTTGGCACGGCTAGGACTAAAAAAAAAACAAACAAATAAGAACATTCAGATCCAGACGATACACGGCCCATATCTCCTGCCCTGGCCTTCGAACGTCTGCAATTGGCTTCATCCGGCCAGAAACAGGCCCCTTCGGCTCAGCATGAAAACATTCAAGATGCCTGAAAGTTCTGAGAAATACGGTTACAAAGTGTCCTTTTTATAGTGGCTGCTTTCTCAGTTCAAAGTGCCTCCTTCGCTGAAAGCCCAGCTCTTTGCACTTTTGTTGACGCTCTTGTTTCTATGGTAATCAAGATGGTCTCCATGAGCAACGGCAGCATACAACTTCCATGCCCCCTGAAGAAGAAGCCCTGATTCCGTTACGAGGCCGAAATGCAGAAACGGGGCCCTCAGGGGAGAGAAGAGCTATGGTGTTCGGCTATTCCGCCCCCCCGCCCTCCGGGATGCTTGCAGACAAAACTGAACAACGACATCGCTTTAACTCATCTCCCAGCACAGGCAAACGTCTCCTGGGTTTCCATTAAAACTAAAGGTAAAATTAGACTCTGGGACTTCAGACCTCAAGCACCTGCCTACCCTAATTTATGAAGCCATCGCAGAGACGTGTAATACGGAAGGCAAAACATCAATTACGGTTATAGGTCGAAGAGCCAAGGTTCCAAATATTTTTCGTTTGCAAAGCACACATTCAAGAAATTGTAATAATTTTAACTGCAGTCACTAAAGTTCTTGCTTTGCTAAAAGTTGCTGTGTACCTCCCGCTCCAATACTGCTTACAGCGGCCTTTCATTGGAAGCTCAGCCTAGCTGCACTTAGGGTTAGCCGCCTCCTTTACCGCACGTGTGTCTGTAATGGGCTATTTCTCTCACTTTGGACAAAAGCATCTGCTGTATGTAAATGTTAAGAATGTTGCTCCTACTGCAGAGAGCATAACAACTAAATGAAGAAAAACCACTGAGGAAGAGGAGGTGAGAAAAGTTCCCCTTTGGGGAATTAGAACTTTCTGGTCTTAACTTCCTTAAAAATGTTACACGGTGTATCAAAGAAAAAAAGGGAAAAATTAAATCTACTTCAACTGTTAGCCACAGAAGACAGGAACTACTAGAAAGGCTCATATAAACTCAAGGTCATATGTCCAGGTCATATAGCCAATGGTCAGATGATACAAGATCTTTGATCTCGCAAACCAGCATCCCACCGGTCCTCAGCTTTGCTGTCAGCATTTGCAGTTTTGTTCCTGATAGACAATAAGACATGCATCTCTGAAAAATGTGGCTAGTCGGTCTTACGGCATCCGTTGAGGACCCCCCCCCCCCAACGTACAAATGGTGTGGCCGGACACATTTTTATAATTTATTAAAAACATTTTATGAGAAGGTCAACTAAGACCACATGGTGCCTGGTGGAATATTTACTTGCATTGTTCAGTTTCGTTCAATGAAGCCAGCATGTGACACAGCAGTTAAGGAATTAACCTGATCAGCAAGGCAACAAATTACTAACTGCTGTAAGGAAATGTGTGCTGTTCTGCTGAATAGGGCAGAGTTTCCCAATCCAGCCCCCGAGGACCCGATTGGGAGACACTGCAATAGAAAATACCGACAAACAATACCGGGGGGGGGGGATAGTGAAGATCCTAAACACCAATATTCTATTAGATTCACTTTGGTGGACAGTCAAGCTGGACGCCTGGGACTTGCATCTGGGAAACTGTAGAAAACATGAATTTCCCCGTCATCTGAGCTACTGCTCTTTGACCTGCCTGGACCAGCATGTCCCAGAAAAAGGAGCTTCCCTTGGTCTCTATGTTGACAAACGTGCTGTGGCCTTGTCTGGCTGATCTGAGTACAGGCGGGACGCAACTTGGTGCATTTCCCAGTAGAGTACGACTGGGTGGCTGCCCGCTTCTGAGATCAGTGGCCACCCCGTGCCATCCAAGCAGGTGGGTCCTTTAACAAGTGGGGTGACACCAGTTTATTAGTGCAGGTGTTATTACCCTCAAGTAGCATCTCTGTTTTGGTTGGTTTCCTTCTACAATAAATTTCAAATTACAATTTAGGTAATTGGCTGCAATTAAATCTATAATTACAATTCAAGTAATTGGCTGTAATTACAATTCAGGTAATTGGCTGAAGAGGTGAAGAGGACAGTAAAGAAGAGAGCATGGTGAAGGTTGTCCCAGAACTGACAAAAGCAGAGGAACATGACTGAATTACATATCTACAAGCAGGTTAACTCAGTTTCCAAAGCAAACAGGCCCATTCCTACATTCCTATACACATCAACACAAGACTGACTTGGGCTTTCGAGTGAACAAATTAATTCACGATTGATACAGCCGTATTGTGGGGCAAAAGTTGGATTTGCAATTATGTGCTGTAATGCTTTCGGAAAAGCAAGCAAATATATTTAACAGTAAAATAACTATATTGTAAATTTCAAGGCTTTCTGGGAGCTTACCAGAACTGACAGGGCAAATAATCACTGGAAGGAGCACCTAGGTAAATAAAGAAATGGCTTTTCCCCCCACAAGTTTCCTCCCAACAATACTAAGTTTTTGACATAAAAAAACGAGCACATACTGTAATATGCTGGAAACATTCACAGCACAACAGCCATTAAAAGCATACTGTCGAATTAGAAATAATATTCAGCATTTAAAACATTAAAAGAATTGCAAAATCATATTTTTTTTCCTGGGTTGCATAAACACATTTTTCAAAACAGTAAAAATATGACAAAAATATGAACAAATACAAAACAGGGATCTCTTAGGACTACCAAAAGCTGGACTCAGATCAATATTAGTCATTCGGGGTAATTTCTACTTTAAAGCAGAATTTAAATAATTTGGCACAATAATTTATAATATTCCTTCTCAATTCAAAACACTTTAAGGTTTTGCACATCTCTACAGGATGTATGGGTTTATAGGGAACTGCGTGCCCTATATTTTTCCATTTCTTTTATAAGATTGCAGTGATCCTTGGGAGTAAACAGTACACGGCAGAGAAGGAGGGTAAAAGTCAAAGCGATGACTGAAAAGCCGAACGTTTCATAAGCGTACCTCCCCGGTCAGAGTGTGACCGAGCCAGCGCTCCGGCTGACCACCGGAGGACGTGCGGCTTCTCACTGAGCGCAATAAACAAACGTGACGGTGTGTGTGACCGAGCGGGGGCGGGGTGAGCGGGTAAATACGCGCTACG